GAACGTAATTTAAAGTATTGTTTCTAATAAAACCTTAATATTTNAAAAAAAAAAAAAAAAAAAAAAAAAAACTAATTATGTGAAGAAAATTACCATTTACGTAAAAATTAGAAAAAATGTGAAATTATTTAGATAGTAAAAATAGTTTTTGATAGGGCTGAATTGATAATAATCAACGAATGCTTTAATTTTATTACCCGTGCATTTGTCGACACCTAGATTTTCATAAAATATTGGAGATTTGAAAAGTCGACTTATGCCTTGAGATATAAGGTATTTATATTTTTTCCAAAGTAAAAAAGCTTTTCTTGAATAAGAAGACTGTCAGGTACCGATGAAGACAAATTCAGGCCCACCAAATTCTCCGGGCCCACCCATACAAAATATTTTGAAATTAAATTACTGAAGTTTACATAATATTTTGAGTAATTAATCTTAACAATAGAAAAGAATCTATGGAACTGCATGATTCAAGATAAACATTCCAAGAAATTTTGAAAGCAGACAATTGAAGATTATTTTTCTAAGATGAAGTTTACGTATCTATAAATCAAAATCTAAAACAACAAAACAATGTTATGTCAAAATAAAAATAGTTTGGTGACCACAAGCAATTGAAATCATCAGTGATTTTTGCTAAGAGTCACTGATTAACTGCATTATTTTTAATTTAGTACGTAAACTAACACAAAGCTATCCCACCTTCCCCTAGACTTTTTATTAATTTTTGAGGCCTACAGAAATTATGGGCCCTAGGCCCATGCCTATTGGTCCTAGGCGATAATCAGGCCCTGAGGAAAGTGATTAGGCGCATATCAAATAGGGAGGTTCGAACCCCGCCGGCCGGTGTAATAAATGGTGACTGACGCACGTTAAATCTGTCGAGTCGCAAAGTCCTCCATGATCCCATAACAAATCATTACCTTTGGGGTTACTGGATTGGATATAGATCGTTCTCTGATTCAGGTCAAAAGTACGATCTGTGGATGAATGGGTCCGCCCTATAAAACGGGCTGCGACGTGTGTGTGGCTGAAGACGAATTCTTGGCCATAGGATGGCGCCTCTGAAAAAACAAGAAACGCACACTCTGCCTTAAATTTGCTCGGTTTCACCAAGCAGGATTGCCCGTGCGGCAAGTGGCATTAGAAACAACAACAACAAATAGGGTGGAAATCAATGCATAAATAAATTACGAACGTGTCCTTACCCTTCTCCCTCAAGAGAAACAGGAAACGAGCAAGCAGATTTATGAAGGCAAAATTAAAACAACACACTTAAAGAAAATCTTCTGACATCTGAATTAAAGACAGAAGAAACTGAGGTAGGCATTTTATTTAGGTCATACTAGAGCTGCTGACGACTATCTGGGAAGCATCTTTGAGGACATGCCATCGCCATTTTGATTCTCTGCAGAGGGGATGGCTCCCCTGATTTGGACGACCTGTGAGCGAAGTCGAGCACTTAACGGAATAACAGTTAAATGCATTCTCGGTCCTTAAGCAGGCTGATTCAAGAGGTCACCCAGCCGCTTACTGATTGCAGTCAGTGATACTTGACTTCAGTGTTCTACTGGGACCAGAAGAAAATGAAAATAATTTTCAGTTGAATCATAAATCAATTCTTAATTGCAATTTTTTACTAATAATGAAATTATTTATTTTTTATATATGTTCTTAAGAAAAAAAGAGTCTTATCATTTTAAATAGGGACGATTTTTTTGTTTTCAGTATAAAAAGAACCGCGAAATTCGGATGTTCTGGATTCTAAGGACAAGAGCGGGGTTACCCATTAGGCTATGGCCTCCTTAAAATGGATTTTTTGAAAATAAATTTTAAAAAATTAAGAAAAACAAAGATTTTTTAAATAAAAAAAAAATCAATTTCAAAAATATATGTTATGATTATAAAATGCTATGATTATTTTTTAGTCCTAATTTAATAAAATAAAGTAAAATGTAATTTATTTTTATTTTAAAAATGCTTTCTTAAATGAAAAGATATATAAATACTTTTATATTTGAATAAATAAAAAATATACGAGAAAAATTTTTTAATCTAAGGGCCCCAAAAATCTTAAGGGCCTAGGGCCCCGCGCATGCTTAATCCGGCACTGCTAAGGACCCATAGTTTCTGAAATCTTCACTGAAAGGGTATCTGCTACATTTTAGATTTTCAAATCCACGACTAATTCCAAGAACTTTTCACGACTTACCGAAGTTACTATTTTCTTCAACAAAAACTCAACACTAAATCTGATAATTCTCCCTCATCTGCTCAATCAGCCCACTGGATGTCATTGATGGCCACTCTAAGCTCTGTGGCAAAATCGCGGGTAACATGGCGATATTGTCGCAGAACGCAAATGAGTTCTTGAAGGCAAAAGGATTTCACTTTTGGGTTTCTTTACAGCAGAGTTTTTTTTCTGCATAGTTATACTCTAAAGATAATTTTCGCTTTCACCCGTAAACAGGGTGCGTAGCCAAATTATTTAACAAAAAATAAGCACCTTTTAAGCACTCAAAAAAATATTTTTAAGCATTTAAAAAAAAAATTCATAATTAGGGAGGGTTGGAAAGCTTTTGACAATTGCCAGTTTTATCTTGTTTTAATCGTCATGTTAAAAACAAACAACCTTTGGCAATGTTTTTGACATATTGTCAAAAATCATAAAATTTTAAATCCTGTGAAACGAATGGCGTTTTCATACGATACAGATTGACAATACGCCGAAACAGTTTGGGGTTGAATTATCATTGCGAAAACGTTGAATAGAACAATGTAAACCGTGACTTTTTACATAATTCGAAGAGAAAATCAACATAGTAAAGGAAAAATCTCATTTTGAAAAAGGAAAAATTAAGCACTTTTTAAAAACACCCAATGAAAAAGCACCCTTAAGGGCTTTTAAAAAACAAAAATAAGCACCTTTTTTTAAAAATGTTACGCACCCTGATAAAGAAAGAAACGCTCCTGATTTTTCTGTTCTTGTTTGAGAATAAAAAAACCCCGTCAATTAAGGGCTTGCTTCAGCTCGAATATTAAATTGATAAAATAAAATAAATAAAAAAAATTCTGAAATCACTGAAGTTTAAAATATAATTCACTCTAGAAATGTTTTTTTCTTTCGTTCATTTTTTGAAAGAACACCCTAAGGACATTTTATATTTTAATAAAATGTGACTGTGAGTAGGGATTTTGTTCAGGGTGAGTAGTCAAATCTTTCAACAAAAAATAAGCACCTTTTAAGCACTCAAAAAATATTTTTAAGCACTATATGCATTAACATAATTCAAAATAATTTTCAAAAACTTCAAATGATCATGAGAAAATAACTCGTTTCAGCCGAGGAACTTTTTTCTTGATTATATTATATTTCTTAATTATATAAAATTATCGAGAGATTTTTTGTTTCAATATCAGAGGGTGGAAAATGAAGTCGAAAATTGAAACTATCTCGCGAAATGCAGAAGAGTGTTGCACGTGAGAAGGCAATAATCTCACCTAACCCAGCTCAGTAGACGCACATACCGACTCGCAAGTATTTCATCAAACGTGTAAAATGATTGGCACTTTCATACGCTATGGACCGACGGTACGCCAAAATTAATTGTGAAAACATTGAATAGAAAACAGTGAAAAGCACGCTTTTGCATAATACGTGGTGAAAATTGACTTGGTAATGAAAAAAATCTCATTTTTGAAAAGGGAAAATTAAGCACTTTTTAAAAACACCTAGTGAAAAAAGCAGCTTTAAGGGCTTTTAAATAACGAAAATCGAAAATAAGCACCTTTAAGCACTTTTGAAAAACGCCACGCACCATGTTGTTACAAATTCAGACATTCGGAATACTGTGAAATTGGGGATTTGAATTCTGTTTTAAAAATGAGACCTAAATCCATGACTTTCCAGGTGTGCAGAAGATAATACTTCTTGAAGCAAATTTAAAAAAAATTGTGCGTGGAGTCCCTCCGCGCGGAAGAAGTTAAACTTCGCAACCTGCGACGTTAATAGTAGAAGAATTAGCAGTCGTAGAAGGATCACTTGTTCTATTCAACGACTCTTTTTCCTTCTCCGCTCGCTTCCGTGCTCTGTAATCACGGTAATATTGTGCATTTTTCCCTCGTGGACCTCTTGAGCCAGTGGAAGTGCTTGTGGTTGCCTGTATTGTAAATGTATTTGTATTAATAATGTATGTGAATGCGTCATAATGTAATTTCAGAAGAGAAAACCTAACAATCAATTGATATTCACAAGAGACGTACCTTGACATAACCTTAAATCCGTCGCATTGTCCATGGGATTGTTTTCACTCATTTTTTACAATTGTTATCCACTAAATTTGAAAATAAAAAATACTACCCCACTAAATTATATGTGTATCAAAACAAACTAAAAAAATATTTATAGAAAAACAATACTTTTATGACTTTTATTATTTTTATGCTAGTGAGAACCAAAACAATATGGAAAAGGGATGAGGGAAAACTGGATCCTACCACGTGATTTCCCGGCCAATAAAAATGTAGTGTTAAACGTTTAACGCGACCTTGTTGGAAGTCACATAAGAAGTATAACTTCAAAAATACTACCCTATTAAATTATATGAGTATCAAAACAAACTAAAAAAATATTCATAGAAAAACAATACTTTTATGCTAGTGAGAACCAAAACAATAGGAAATGAATGATGGAAAACTGGATCCTACCACGTGATTTCTCGGCCAATAAAAATTTAGTATTAAACGTTTAACGTGACCTTGTTGGAAGTCACATAAGAAGTATAACTTCAAAAATACTACCCTATTAAATTATATGTGTATCAAAACAAACTAAAAAAATATTTATAGAAAAACAATACTTTTATGCTAGTGAGAACCAAAACAATATGGAAATGAATGATGGAAAACTGGATCCTACCACGTGATTTCTCGGCCAATAAAAATGTAGCGTTAAACGTTTAACGTGACCTTGTTGGAAGTCGCATAAGAAGTATAACTTCAAAAAAAAGAAATAACTATTTATTTTGTCATAACATACACAAGATGAAGAAAAGGGAGAGAAATGACATCCATCACTTTGGGGGGTGTAAACTTTTACCAAAGCAATTTCATAAGAATTTTCTCCAATACACAGAGAGAGAACTTCACACGGACTCCAGGCTTGAAGTCCTTATCGACCTCATCCACCAGGGGGTGGGGGAGGAACATAATTAGATGACCCACCTGAAAATAAGGAAAGAAAAAAAAATTTAAACCAATAATTTCCACAATCATCATCTCACAATCACATCTGAAATTAAAACCAGTATACAAGTTTTCTTATGCAATAAGTCAACTTTGAAGAAAGCTATGAAATCCCTCAAAGTAAAGAACTCCAATTCCAGGGTTTCCACAGAAAAAAATGAACAAAATAGTTGCTTTTAGTAGCCTAAAGCATAAAAATAGTAGCCAAAAACTAGGAAAATAGTTGCCTAAATAAGAACAAAAATTCATCAAAAAAATAACTAAAATTTTGTTAATGACTCAATTGTCATATACCATGATCCACTCAGTCAAGTTGGTGGCAAATATGATAATTTTTATATAAACGTCTATATATATATATATATATGAAAAGTGAATACTCAAATTCAAAATTCACGCATCGTAATATCGCATAAATTTTTTTTTTTTAAAAAATCATAGTATTTTTTAAAATTATTTTTGTAGCGATAATCATTGAAAAGGTGATCGCGAAATGAAATAGACTTGCAATGGAGTCTGTGCAGATTGAACGAATTATAAAGTGAAGACTCAAATTTGCAGTTCAAAATCTTTTATTTTTTATAATAAAAAAAAAGTTCAGTGTGTTCAAAAACTATCTTGTGGGGTGCAGATTTTCCACCCAATTTATGCTTAAAAAAATAATAAACATCGTTAGGAGTACAGAAAAGTCTCCCAATAGTCTCCTTTTCCTGAAAATAGTTGCCTTTTTTTTTTTAGCCTTTTCAGGCAAAAGAAGTTGCCATAGTCGCCTCACGCCAAAAATAGTTGCCTTTTAGTCGCCAATGGCAACCCTGCTATTTGTAGACACTTTGATTTATAAACTTCAGCATAGGAACCTTTTTATTTGAAGCACTGGTTTTTTGCAACAACAATTAAATGTTTATTTTTATTGCCTTCTTTACATTGACAGGGTGCATAGCCGCCAAATCATTCACCAAAAAATAGGCACCTTTTAAGCACTTTTCAAGTACTCAAAAAATATTTTTAAGCACTTTAAAAAAATATCATAATTGGGTAGGGTTGGAAAGTTTTTGACAATTAACGTTTTTATCTTGCTTTAACCATCATGTCAAAAAAAAAAAACCTTTTTCACAATTGTGAAAAATTATGAAATTTTGAATCATGTAAAACGAATGGCGTTTTCATACACTACGAACTGACAATACGCCGAAATAGATTGGAGTGGAATTAATTATGAAAACGTTGAATAGAACAATGTGAACTGCGTCTTTTTGCATAATTCAAAGCGAAAATCAACATGGTAAAGGAAAAATCTCATTTTGAAAAAGAGAAAAATTAAGCACTTTTTAAAAACACCCAATGAAAAAAGAGAAAATCGAGAAAAAAGCACCTTTAAGCACTTTTAAAAAACGCTACGCACCCTGATTGAACCTAACTCAGAAGGCAAGAGAACCAAATGCTCAAGAAACCCAATTCGCTTGCTCGAGTGTAAAGTTTTGACAGTTAACTGCAACTTATGATAATCATAACAATTATTTACAACTGAAAATGTGACACAATTTTGTTGTTGTGGAACTAAATGTGTAGGTTTTTTTTCCTGATAATTTTGTACATAATTCATATTCAAGACTGTAAGCCCAATGTAAAAATCTGAAAAATTTCTTGAATAAAATCATGAATGACCTATTTCAAAAAACTAATATCTTCATAAATTTAAATCATTGATATTTTCTCAACATGACATTCTAAATAAATTATATGCAGTATAACTTAAATGAATAATTATGTACAAGTTTACTTGGATTTCTAATCACGTTTATTAGTCTACCAAAAAAATTTTAAAAATTTACCTAATATTTTTAAATAAAATATACAAGAATTTTTATGCATAAATGTGAACGATGATTTCTTGAAACTTATGGACCTTGGATACCTGGAAATTTCTGGATCGCAATTAGCAAAAAATCCAGAAATCCGTATTTTTTCCTGAGCACAATCATCTCTGAAGAAGAAATTAGTTCCCTTTCCACGAAATTCCAAAACTTTTTATTTTTAAAAGTTCAACAAAATTTATATTCAATAAAAATGTAATGTCAACTTAGATCATAAATAATAAATTGTCAGAACTATAAACATGACTGAAGGGTAAAATAACACTAAGAGAATTTACTGGGTAGTATTAAGAAGAAAAAAAACTTTTTACTAGCACAAAGTTCAGAAATATATATATATATATATATATATATATATAACAATTGTGTGGGATTGCATAGGGATAGTAAGAATGTATAAAGAACGGCTTTTGAGATTTTCTGCACTATTTAAGCATTTATTCCATTAAAAGGCCCAAAATTTTATGTCATAAGTGTTAAAACAATATTTGCAAGTGCACATTTGTTATAAAACTGCACAATTAAAAAAAAAGTAATCTTTCTATCCNATATATATATATATATAGATACATATATATATATAGATACATATATATATACACATATATATATATACATATATTATTTATATATATTAATCATCATCATAGTTGGCCAGACAGTCCAATGTTGGCCAATGCCCTCCTCTGCAGATTTCTCTTTCACGACTTTTAATTTATCTTTGATCTCTAATTCTTTTCATTAATTGCAAGAAAATCGGACTCCACCGAATCTTCTCATCTCAATCGCGGGCTTCCCCGCTTTTTTGTTCCAGTGGGTTTGAAAAGCAATATCTTTTCGATTGTATTGCCATAGCTCATTCGAATCACGCGGACCATAAAATTAATTCTGTTTATTTTCATATATATAATAAAATCCGGTTGTTTATAAATCTTGAACAGTTTGAAGTTAAATCTCCTACTATACTAAGCAAAATCTTTCTCTCAAATATTAGGACACAATTTTCTTCCAGTTTTGTCATTGTCCAAGCTTCAGAAGCAAACACGGTTTGGACTGGTTAAGACTGGCTTGGACAAGAGTTTTGTAAATTAAGAACTTTAATATATTAATAATCTGTGTCTAATTGAAGTTAAGTTATATTTAACCAACAAAAGAACATTTTGAAAACGAAATGAAGTATTGAAACAAAATATTAATTAGGGGAAAGATATGATTGCAAAACTTCTACTTTAAAAAGAAAATAATTAAAATTTTAACACCAATTATCAAACCATTTCAAAAAGAAACTAACAAATATTATTATTTAGTTAATCCCTGCTAAGTCAAATAGCTAAATATAATGCATTTTATTAACAGACAAGCAAATAAATATTTATATTAAGGACAAAGCAACAGTAATATTTCTTGATCTTTAGTTACAAAATAAATAAATTTTTCTAAAATATAAAACAAAAATGCAAGAAGATGAAAAATAAAAGCAGAATTTTTTAATCAATAAAATAAAAGAATAAATTTTCAACAACTAAGTCATCTTTAAAAAAACATATCTCTTTTTTTTTCTTCACAAGCACAGATACTAGTTGAAAACAGAATACAGGATTTTCACTCAATTTTAAAAAAAAATTCAATGACTTTCAAGGACCTATTCAGTATTACAGTTATTTGCTAAAGTACATGTCAACCAAATTTTACAATCATGTAGAAGCAGAAATTGTATATTTTTAAAGCACAATGCTTATTTGACCACAAAAAAAAATATTTATTAAATTTATCAGTTAATACAAATGGTTGATAGTTACATTATTGTTTCAAATCACTTAAAAGTTCCTATTGACGAAAAAAAGAAGATCCAATTGACAAACGAACAATACTAGCCAACATTTAAAAACTAGCTTCAGTGAAACTCTTTATGAAAAATTTAATGAAATGAATAAGAATTAATGAATAATGCATATTACATTAAACAAGCATAGTAAATAATTGATAAAATGTGTGTGAATGTACGGTTATTAAAATATAAATACTATTTTTTAATATGTTAGATCAAATTTTAGGTTACAGGAAATGTATGTAATTAGATAAAATATCAAAATAAATCCATTTAACATATCTGTTTCAATTTTAATAACAAATTATCTACTTTGTTACTTCAGAATATCAGTAATGTACACTACCGGTCAAAAGTTTGCGAAAATTTTGAAATCTGCGAAAAAAAGGTCTAAATNTTGACTGGTAGTGTATTTCGAACATTATAAAACCTATTGTAGAACGATATTTTACAGATAACTAAGACTTACCGAGCTTTGTTTTCTTTAAAATATATCCATAAAATATGAAGCATGACTTTTAAAATTTTGTGAATATGCGTTATTTTCACTAAGCATAATTTTTTAATCGCATTTATATGAATCTAATTTATAGATATACTATATGCAAATCAAAATGTTAAGAAAGGTGAAGTAAGTGTCGAAGATTGCGTAAATTACGTATCACAATGTGTGATTTGATAATTAAAATTGAATTGTTGTGTATGTTTCTTAAATCAGAACAATATGAATAGCAATACGCACAAACTAACAAGACGTAAATCACACTGTGTGATACATAAATCACTTTAATGTGAACAGGGGTAGCAGCAAAGTTTTTTAAAATTTTAGGGTAATTTGAGGAACTTTTTTCAAAAACTTTTAGGGGTAATATATGATTTTGCTAGGATAAAAACAGATCACACGGTAGTTTATTACATAACAGAAGATTATTACAATTCATCCACACATATCATAAATAATTGCAAGCCATAAAATAAAGCTCTGAAATTTATTAAGTCAAGAATGAAATCTCTAAAGTGTAAAAATGAAACTTCAATTTTACATATTACCTATCAAAAATTAAGTGCATAATTCAGGAACAGGCAAAAGTGAGAATAAATCAAGAGAAAAAATAAATTAACACCAACTTGGATTTTTATTTAATTTTTAATTTCTTAATCAAAACTTTATTATTGCCCTTTACCTTACTTTATTAAAAAAACAATTGTGTGATATTATTAGATTTCAAATCAGCAATTTATATTAGAAAATAGAGAAAAACAAATTAATCATAATCATTTTTCTAATATATTCTTGATATGATTTGTGAGATTCTTTTACTGCCCTCAATAGTGTTGTGGTGATCTTCAACACTCCTCCATAATTTTGAATGGTATCTTTGATTAGTCTAAGAGACATAATAGTATTCTCATGGTGACTCACATTAAGCATTGCTTTATTTATCGAAAAACCTCTCTCAGGATCGGAATTCCCATGTGGAAAATTAAAACAGTTTTAATTAATGTAGTTAAATTCTTACATTTTAGATTATTGCTTTTTTATTTATATTTAGCCTATACCTCTAATTTTTTAGGAACACCAACAAAATTTTATCAGATTTTTAGGAATTTTAGGGTATGCACATAGTTTTAGGAATTTTATGAATTTTAGGGGGAATGCGACCCCTGTGTGAACTCTGTTGCGTGATTAGCTAATAGTTTTCATATGAATAGTGGTCATTATGACGCAAATTGCACTTTGTGATTCAAAAGGCACTTAATACTGAACAGCTATGTGTTATTCTTAAACCATTTTGATGAGAATTGTGAGCGGTAATTTTTAAATCTCTCTTTTGTGAATGGCAATGCTTGATTTTTAAACAACTAGAATAGGAATTGTGAAGCATGATTCCGAAATTACTTAAATATGTATCACATTATATGATTCAGAAATAACTTAAAAATTGAAATCACGATGTGTAATTGATTAATCACTTTAATGTGAATCATGATGTATGATTTATAAAATACCTTAATCGAATTCTGATGAGTAATTTGCAAATCACTTTAAAGTAATATTCGATATGTGATTCATCAATCATTTTCATCTAAATCACAATTTGTAGAACATTTTATATGAATTCCAATCCGTAAATCAAGAATCAGTTTAATGTGAATCACGACGCTTATTCATAATCAAAGAAATATGTAGAACTAAATTTTATTTATTAGCAGTAAAAACTAAATGCAAAGATTTGATTATAAATGACAAAAAATTAATTATCCTTCGTACATAAATTAAAAGGACAATTAGGATAACAATATTAACCTGACGTAATTAATGAAGTTAACACATTGAACATATTTCTAAACCAATTAAACATTATATATCATTCGAAAACTATGACTACATAACCTACAATTTGCTAGAAATTTCTGCTTTCAAAACATCAGAGAGATAAACAATAATCTGATGTGAAAAATCTAGGAGAGAAAAGTTTTGCATCTTCTTTAACCCCTTTTCACTTCAAGCATTAAAAATTGCATCTACAGAATTTCTATAATATTCCTTTGAATTTATTTATTTTTTTACTACTTTTTTGTAAGAAAGATTACTATTACTTTAAATCCTAAAAAAATCAATTACTTTTCAAGTACCCTATGGCAGAATTCAAGGACTTTCCTGGGCCCTGATTTTTTTCCAACTAAATTCAAGGACTTTCAAGTACAGTGGGAACAGTGACAATTCCCAGTTTTGGGGGACTGACAATGGGAGATTCCCTAAAGAATAAATTCTTCTTTAAAGAAACTAATTAGAAATTTAGGTTTCAGGGTTGCTACCCAAATCTGGAAGAAAAAAAATTCCCTGAACATATTATACACACTATATTAAGAGAAAACAGCAATTACTTTGCTCTTGTGTGAGCTATAGTGGGCTAACTATATTCATTAGTTTTTAATTGCTGGAAAAACATCTGAACATACTTAAATAATGCTATAGTAAATGAAATAGTTTAGTATAGCTGAAATATCATGGTTAAATATCCCATAGATAACGCTTTGAGTTGGTCACCATATTTCAAAAGACGAAAATAAGAAACAAAACTTCCTGTATTTTCCCAATTTGTAAAGAAAAAAATCCGAATTCCCTGCATTTTCCCTGTTATTTTAGGTGATTTTTAAATTCCCTGTATTTTCCAGGTTTTCCCTGTGGAGTGGCAACCCTGGTTTCTATGTGTAACATCTCTAACTTTGATTTGTATTTTAAGGGTGACCACCAGGGTTGGAGTTTCTGCCGGCAAAAAGGGTTTTTTGCCAGGACAGTAGCAAAAACCTGGTAAAAACAGGCAAAAACTGGTAAAAACCAAATTATCTACATAGCTGATTAAATATTATTACAAAATACTTGAAACAAATTTAAATCAATCATAAAGAATAATAATTTTGATACATTACATGAAAAAATTATTTTTAACACATTAATAATTAATATAACGGCAATAAATATTAAAACATAGAAAGTTTTTGACCTCTTTTCATTTTAGAATCCTTAAATAAATGTTTTTTTACAAATAAATAAATATTATTATTTGTATAATATTATTATTTATTATAAAAAATTATTATTTGTACAATAATTAACTACACATGTTGATAGATATTTTATGCTTTAAATTATAGTTATATTAATTTAAAATAAGTTCATTTCACTGGAAAAAAGAGAATAATCGCAAATTTTCCAATCAATAATGTTTTAAACTACTAAAATGATATATTATTAAATTATGATTTAATTATGGAATAATAATTTTGTTAATTTTTTTGTAATTATTTATATTTATAGTATATATTTCAATTTTAAGAATAATTTTGTACCAAAAATGTGTTTTTGTCCTCTCATCTTGGAAAATATAGATTTTTGCCAATTTGCTTGGCAAAAACCTGTTTTTGCCAGGATGGATTTTTCCACCTGCAGCAAAATCTTGCCAACCCTGGGCTCTTCCATAATTATTTTGTTGAGCTTAGCTGAAAAATCAAAGATGTCACATTTCTTAAGCTAAAAAAGTAATTGAAGCATATACAATTCAGTATCATGATGTAGAACAATGCTATTGATTAGTGACTTAATTCAGGAATCTTTTTTTTCTTTAAATAAAAGAAAATAATTTTGTAATTATAAACATGCAATTTGAATTACTTGAAATAAACTTACTTATATCTGAAAAAGATCTGAAGTTTCCTCTGCCTGGTGGCCTTGGAGGTCTGAAAGTTTTAAAACAAAGTATAATTTTGAGTAAAGAAAATATACAATTTCAAACTTTATTATTCATTTCTTAAAACATGTAGATAAATATGTTTGCTTATGCCATCTAGAAATACTTTACAAAATCAATGGTTTAAAAAAAATGCTTGCATTTTAATTTGTTTAAAGCTCTTTTGATTAAGGTTTGGGTCATGATAACAAACAATAATGCACCAACTTTCTTCTCATCGACTACAAGGTATATTAAATTATAGCATTTGTATATAATTAATGAAAAATAATGCAAGATAAAACCTAAACAGTCACAGGGTGCGTAGCCTTATTTTTGAACAAAAAATAAGCACCTCTTAAGCAATTATAAAATATTCTTAAACTTTTTATATATATATATAAAAGGGGGATATTTCTGTATCATGATCTGTCGTGCCAATTACAATCGCCAAGGTGCCAAATAGATTTTATGCTTGCAAATTTAAAAAAAACAACATGTAAATGTTTACCCGAAGGTAGCTACATTTCAAGTTGATCCTTTCATGATGATTTTTTTTTTTTAGTTTCTCGCGGGCCACTGTCCGGAAATTGCCTGGACTTGGCAATTATTCTGCTACAGATCATGATACTGGAATCTCCCCAAATATAACTATGCTAATAAAAATTTCATGCGCACAAATGAAAATTTTTTCTTTTATTATTGAAAGTTCTTATGCATGTTTATACATATATTTAATATAATCCATAAATTGAGCATTTATTTAACGCGCAATAATTTAAAACCTTTCCCACAAAGAAATTAATAATATTGATCTAATTATCTCAGAAAATGTGATGATATGTCTTCAGTAGGTTGGGAAATTGATCAGTCTCACGTTACTAAGACTCATTAATATTTAAATATACTGTCCAGAAAGATATAAAAACTATCTTTCAAAGGTCAATTGTGCTCTTCTCTATCATACACCAGCATTTAATGTTCCAATTTTTGGGCCTCCGGCCCTAACTTTAATAAAATTCTAATATTTCGCCATTTTCCTGTATATTTTTCAATAAACACCGGTGACACTACGAATTTGCAATGTTAATGCTTTCAAAGTGTAACATATATATATTTATACTGTCGGACCTCCATTTAACGAAGTCGCTAAATCCCGATAATAAGTTTGCTAAATAGAAATCTCTTTTTGAAATACCTAATTAACACAAAACAGGTTTTAAATTCATAAACACTAGACATAATTAAAATAGTAATTGATACACATTTATCTTGTTAACTAGTATCTACTATTTATTTTACAAATTATAACCATGAGAGAAATCGGCATGGAAATCAAGAAGAGAGCAAAACATTATTTAGTGTTACACTATCATGCTACATACATTTTCAATGAAAAAAAAAAAAGCAAAATTGTTTACACATAAATTTTTACACAAAAAATTTATCTGTAAAATTATGGTTACATTTATAATTAAAGTAATTTTAAACGCACATCACCACATGCATCCTTTTTAATTGCTATTTACCAGGGTTGGCAAGGTTTAGAACAGAATGGATTAATCCATGGTTTAAACCGTCCTGTCCAAAACCTCTTTGTCCAAAACTGTCCAAATTAATTCTTTTAGCATAGTAGTGATACATCACCAGTGTCAGTAACTGAAACTGATGTTATGCCCTTCAAAACTGTTAATACATTTTTCAGTTATTTTGTATTTTCAATTTAAATTAATATATTTATATTTAAAAACATTTTTTTTAAAAATAGATGTCTTTTTTATCATCCTGTGATGCAGAAATTATAACATTTTTTTAAAAAAATATTGTGAAAAATAAAAGGTTAATTTTTGAACAAATTTAGTTTTTTTTTTAAGAAAAATTATTATTTTTTAATATTGCCATATTTATCCTTATGCAAAAATATTATTTATCAGTATTAAAAGCATATTTATATTTAAAGGATTAGGTATTCACTTTTGTTGTTCAATGAATTGTGGAGCTTCAAAAATTATAAACCTTTTCCTATTATATTATATTATTTTCTTTTAATAAGTTATAGTAAATTGTATAAAAAATATCAAATATTTATTGATACATGTAATTATTATGTGTACAATGGTTACACCTATAGAATTTTTACCTTTTACCAAAGTTCAAGGTTTTGGACACTTTAAGACAGTTTTACCCAGTTTAGGACAGTTTTACCCAGTTTAGGACAGTTTTACCCAGTTTAAGACAGTAAAACCCACATGTCCTGTCCAAAACCAGTTTAGGACGTTCAAAACTCCAACCCTGCTATTGACAAAGTCCTTAATTTCGTCTGACATTTTCGTTTGAATTGCAAACAAATAGGGAAAGGGATTTTACTGCTTTCTCCATAGCAGTAAAATTCCTTCACTTTGTTCTCCCCTTGAACTGACATCTTCATTACACATAGGACATTCAAAATGAAATCTTGATGAACTTCAGTACCCTCTGTCTTACCTGGTGTCATCTTTGAGTGTTTAACTTTTTTAGAGAAACTTAGGTTTACCTTAGAACATTTTTAATCTTAGAGGCACTTAGCCTTTAAGATTAAAGGCTAAATGCCTCTTAAAGTGGAAGGGGGACACTTTAACTTTTAGTCGACTATTTTAATTATTCTATTTATCTTATTTGTATTTAATGTGATTTTTCATATTTTTACCATTTGATGTTTTACCTGACCTTACTTTTATATGGTTTTACCTGTATTTTTTGACACTTTTATTGTTGGTTAATTTTATTCACTTAGATATTTTAAGCACTTTTAATTTTTATTCCGTTTTATTTTTAACATCTTTTCGATTTTGGGATATTTTCTATGAGTATCAATCTTTTTAGTTTTGATTTTACCTTTCTGTAGTTTTGCAGTGTTTAGTTCACGTGACAACGGGTGAAACCCTTATCCGCAAACTTCTTCGGGGGTAGGTCGGTTACTATTAGTCTTACTGCTTTTTCTAAAAGTTAAGCGGCTTCGAAAATCAATTCAAGGTCATTTCCCTCTTAAAATGCATTAACAAGTTTGAAACTTTCTGAAATATTTTGAGAAATAGAGAAAGTGGATATCAAAGAAAACTTCGTTAAATAGAAAATTTACTTAGCTATATGGAAGGAATTTTACAAAGAAATTTCCAAAATGTTCTTGGTTCCTCCAACACAATCACTCCTTAGTAATGATTGCCGAAAAAAAGATTAAAGATAAAATCCTGGGAATCGGATTTCTCAAGTGCATGTTACGCTCGAGATTAATATCATATAAAAAATATCGGATTTAAAAAAGTATGGCAAAATCAATAGAAATAACAGCCAAAATATTGATAGAATCATTGCCTTAAAAAGTAAATACTCAAATGCACCATTCGAATTTTCCACATTGTTTGAAATACATTGGGATATTTAAAAGCCATGTGAAAATCAATGTAAGTAACTGCCGAAAATACAATCAAATCGGGTCTACAATATCGGCATGAATTGAGCGCTTCAAAAAGTGATTATTTAAATGCGTGATTCGAATTTTTCATGTAAATTTTTGCAGAAAAGCAAATCAAAATGATTTACCTTCCAAAGAAAAATCTTTCTGCAAGAACTCAGTGAAGTTCTGCGACAATGTCGCCGCGATTCTACCATGGGCTTCTATAGTTGTAGTTGCTAATGAAATGTTAATTTTTTTGCGTCAGAAAGGATAAAAAAAATAAAAAAGAGAGAAAAAGTTCTAGATAAACTTGATGCTAAAAGATGTCAGTTAATATTTAAGGTTTCAAATTATCAACCAGTTTAAATTTTAATTCCACTTTCAATTATCATCATCATATCTGGCTAGACAACCCAGGGTGGGCCAGTGCCTTCCTTTGAATTCGAATCCACTTCTCTCTACTTTTGACACTTGTTCGCCAGTTTTTCTCCTTTAGAGTAAGGAAATCAGTCTCAACTAAATCTAGCCATCTCAGCCTGGGTCTACCTCTTTTCCTGTTCGTTAGGGGTTTGTGTAATAGGATTTTCTTTAAATTTGAGTCATCATTCCTTCTGAAAATGTGAGCTGCCCAGTTCATTCGATTTATTTTAATGAATTTCACAATATCTGGCTCTCTGTAGATTTTATACAGTTCAGTATTATATCGTCTTCTCCAGGAATTATTTATTTTTATCCCACCAAGGATGGCCCTCAAAACTTTTCTCTCAAAAATGGCAATTTTATTTTCACCAACTTGAGTTAGGTTCCAGGTCTCAGAGCCATAGGTAAGTATTGGCATAATTAATGTTTTATAGAGTAAAAGTTTTGTATTTTTTGATAAAAGATTCCATTTTCAATTAATTATATGGAAATACGTTTTATTTTTTTGCATTAAAAAAATGGGGAGAATCCATCTTATTTTATTTTTTTTTTTGCATTTTGCTTTAAGTCATCATATTTGTAATGATATTTATTCAGGTGAAAATATTTATATTACTTGAATCTTAAACAAATTATTCATAACATACATACCCTCTGTCATTTCTTGATCTGCTGTTAAGATTTGAATTTCTACCAACACTCACAAAAGGCTGAAACGTTTAAAAAAATGTTAATACATAATAAGTAATATAAGTAAACATATAAGCAAGACTAAGTATAGATCAATTAAATTCAGATTCAGACATCTATCAAATGACATTTGTTTTCATGAATTTTTAGCTTTCTGTCCTCCATTTTTACCCACTTTATAATCCGAGCAATTTTTTAAATTTTTTTTTATCCAGTCATTTGTAAACTTGTATATTTAATGACATTTGCTTTCATGAATTTTTAGCTTTCTGTCCCCCATTTTTACCCAGTTTATAATCCACACTTTTTTTATCCAGTCATTTGTAAACTTGTATATTGAAAGACAACGGCTTTGTGACCAAAACTACTGTAGTTGTTACTTTTTCTTTAGTTAGAAGCGTAGTGTGCTGCATTTTTTAAAATATTAGTGTAGTAAGTAGTGTAAGAATAATAATAAAAACAGTTGTTTGAAGTGATTTTAGGGAACTTTTTTTTAATGCCAGTTTAGTAAAGAAACACTATTCCAAGACAAGTAATTGGTTGAATCTGATTGGAACAAATCTTTCCGGGTCCCTCAATGAAAACACTGAGAATGCCCCCTGAGGCGAAACGTTAAAAAGAAGAATGTATTGCTAATATTTAAACTAGCAATTATAAATAATAGCTAATTCATCACTTCCGCCACACTTCCAACGTATCTGCCATTCATGTAACACTGACGTTATTTCAATGGAAGGAACGTATTTTCTCAGTAATTTTTGATTTCTTATTTTCTAAGAGGAAATAAAACAGCATTAAATACTTAACAAAATTGCAAATATTTGTCATTGCATTTCTTAAATTAAATGTTTGAAGTCAAGAAAGAACAAATCTGTAACAAAATGGTTTAATGCAAGAAAGTGGCTCATGTAAACGTGAATAACTATTTCTCGTTACTTTCATTTTGATAGTAGATTGTGAGCACTATATTTAAACAAAAGTAGTTGTAGTTAACCACATTTTGTAATAAAGTAGTTGAAGTGAACTAGAATATAATGTAGTTTTTCCAACCACTGCTTAAGGGTTTACGCTTATGACTTCCTAATCACTTGACATTTTAGTTGGCTGTCACAAAAAAAAAAAAAGACATTTTATCTGTTATTTAACACTATACAAACGCATTTGTTAATAATATTTTTAAAATCCCATAGATGGCTTCCAGAACAGCAATGCATAAGTGAATTGTTGTTCAGAATTCTTTCTGACATTGTAGTATAAACATCATTAATTTTTTTTAATTAAATATATTTTCTGTTGAAGGCGTTTCGTAATGAATTGAACCTGGAGATCATCTTATTTAATAGTGTTTATGCTTTATATAATATAGGCAAGAAAAGTTCCGTTTCTATAATTGAGGAATATAACAAACTTATACATTTTAGAGATGCATCAGGCATAATTGGATAAATAAGACGATATATTACATAAATATATTATATAATTTTAGGAAGAACGTATAGAAAAATGATGCTTTTCTCTTTTAATCTGGGAACTGTTTTTTTTTAATCCTTCCACCAAATAATGTTGTTCTTCGTAAAGATATAATTAACAAAGTAAACTATAAATCATACTTACATCAAGTAAACTTGAAAAGCTGAAAAATAAACATAAAAACTTATTGAATTATGATTTTTTTTAAAACACTTGAACACTAAATAAACTCAAAGCTATTTGCCAGAGACACTTGATACATTGTTATTGTACATTAAAAAAATGATAAAAAGAAAATAATACTGAACATCTAGAGCAGGGGTTTCCAACTTACATGAGGCTGGGGGCTACAATTAAAAACACAAATCAAATGGCAGGTCGCAACTTTATCATAATTTTATGTAGGACTCTTTTATGTTTGAAGGAACATTAAATATTACTGTCAGATTTTTACCAAGTTGTACAAAACAAAAGTATTGAATTACAAATTAAAATAAGAAGTAGATTTTTCTAAAATATTTAATTGCATACTATAAAATTCGGACTACAATAACTTTAATGTGCATCTATGTATTAAACAATTAATGTGCAACAGATACCTAATTGTTAAGATATAAAACTTTAATAACGTTGGTATTAAAACTTACATAGTAGCACACAAAACGTTCAATGAGAAAATTGAGGTTTGTCTGCTGCAACCACCAGAGAATAGATATTTACATTTTAAATTTAAAATTTACAAATGTGTGTGTAAATATTTTCGTCTAAAACGAGTGGTTCAAAAAGTTAAATCGGAGAATTTCTTTGAGAAAATTTCTGATACACACATGCTAAATTATATTCACAAAATACAAAAAAATGAAATAAAAAAGAGCAGCATACACAATTATTTTTGTATATGAATAAATATTTTCTTGGATGCAAAACCTGACCGGTCAAGTTTTACCATTTACCATAGGGTTTTACCATTTTACCATAACCGTTCATTTGACCGGTTATGGTAAGTTTAGTGTTAAGTGATAGCACAGAATTCTAAGTGTTAATTCCTTGTGTATCTTGTTAAAATGTGGTGCAATACGCAGTTCAGCTTCTTAAAAACGAATTAAATGATGAACTATTATCCGAGTTTAAGAAAGAGAAATACTGCTTTTGCAGTAAAGAACTTTATGAAATAATTATCGAGTTCATCTGTAACAAAAACATCTGAATGAAAGCACAACAATTTTGTGAAAAGTTATGTTCAGGTCGGGATAGCCTGTTTTGTAGGGCACTGGGCCCATGTCCAAGAATTCTTGGGTTCGATCTCTGCCAGCTGAAGACTCCCTATGCAGTAAATAGTGACTGACGCATGTTAAATCTGTCGAGTCGAAAAGTCCTCCATGCTGCAAATCAATACCTCCGGGGGTACTGATCCAGTAGTTTCCTTGTCTTTTGGATTGGTTCAAAAATTACAAGGCTACAGAGTTGGAGATTAGTAGAAGTCGTAAACCCATTAATTGGGTAGTTTGCTTAATGACAAATATAAAATAAAAAAAAGTTATGTGCCGACAAAAGGTTTGAAACTACAAAAGTTAATAAATTGCAATTGAGATTTTGTACTTGAAAAGTTTTTTATTTTATCCAAATCTGACTCATTAAGTCTTAATACAAATAAGGATTTAAAATTGAAAGGACATTAAAGGATGTATGTTTTTCCGTAATGAAAATAATGTGGAATAATCGAATGAAGTGCAATATTTTGCATAGAGTGGCGTAACAATAAACCACCCTGTTTTTAGCCACGAGACTTCCTTCATGAATTGTTAGTTCTTTAATCAGTGTTTTCTTCTAAATTATAAATTTTTTTAAAGTTGATTTTCAGATGTGTCACAATCCATTCTATAAAGATTAATAAGTTTTAGAGGATTTTGTGGGATAGTACACACTCTGTTATGTATTAAGTAATACAGTCAATTGTTGATCATAAGTACTTTTTAAACACTAAAAAAATATTTTTGAGCACTATAAAAATTAACAAAATCCAAAATAATTTTCAAAGACATTACACGATCATCATAAAATAAATAGTTTCTGACAAAGAACTCTTTTCTTGATTACACAAGCATGAGATTGAGATTATCTTGCAAAATGCAGTAGAGTTGCACATGAGAGTACAATAATTTCATCGAACTGAACTCAGTAGACGCACAAGCTGACTCACAATTATTTCATCAAACATGTAAAATTATTGGCGCTTTCATGCGCTACCATAACAAATCAATACTTTCAGTATCCGAGGGCACACTGAAATTGATTGTGGTTGAATGAATTGGGAAAACCTTGAATAGAACATTGAGAAAAACAAGTTTTTGCATAATACGTGGCAAAAATTGACATGGTGACGAGAAAAAATCTCAGATTTGAAAAGGGAAAATTGAACACTTTTTAAAAACACCCAATGAGTAAAGCCCCTTTAAGGGCTTTTAAAAAACGAAATTAAGCATCTTTAAGTACTTTTTAAAAACGCTACGCGCTATGTTATATTGTGTGTACTAAAACACATATAAAAGGAAAACAAATCTCAAAATGAGATTTGATTATTAAAAACGATACGCTTCCTGTGTAATATAGCCAGTGATTTAATATGCATTACATTCATGAGAGTATTTATTCATTTTGATTGATAGGCACTTTAACCCCAATTTTATAGCACCTTAACTTTAACAACCCCCTTCCTTCAAGCTGAGAACATTGTCAACTTGAGTTATGTGTTTTTATTAGATCAAATATTCCCCCCCCCTTAAATTTAATAGTGCCTTTATTTATATTATGCTTAAGTTATATACGTGATGTTTCTTAAAACAATGGCTATGTGAGCAAAATTTTTTACAAATTTGTTAAAACTTTGCAACTAAGATAAAATCCTTATAAATTAATTACTTTAACAATGTTAATCATTATTTTAGCCTGAATTGACTTTACTAACAAATTCTTTGTAATATTAATTACCTTTTTTTTTAATTATTTAGGTTAAACATTTTAGTTGTTTCACTTAGCTATAGATTCTGGATGATTAAAAATGAATTGAATATCTTACTAGAAGTATACAAGATTGAAGAAGCCCCATATCAGATTGGAAACTCGCTCCAAGCTATTATTCAAAGATGATCCACCTAGAAGAGAAAACACAAATTTAGAAATAAATTCTTATTTTAATGTACAGTCGTTTATCTCGAATCTCACGCGAAAGATGAGAAATTTGACATAAAGGGGTTTCAAATTATACAGGTACTTTAAATAATTAAACTAAGAAATTCTACTAATACTGCTTTAATTGTTTTCAGTAGAAAAATATAGGCATTTCTGTAAATTAATTATACCACATAAAAACATGTTTAACATACATTTAACACTGAAAATAATTTTTCTAATATTTCTGACATCTAACCCTCTTAATTTCGATAAATCTTTAAAGATTAGAAAGAGCAACAAATCCCTCATGGCCAGCATGTTTCTGGGATTCAAGAAAAGCTTGTAAAAATTCTACAACTTTTTCTTCCTCTTTTGCACACACTTTTGGTTCATCAATATGATCTTCCTTTAACACTATCTATGACTTCCACATCTGTCAATGTTCCGCAGGTTGCAGTCCACTTGCAAAAATCTTCAAAATTAATGTCAGCATTAAATCCCAATTTTGTTGCATTTAATTCTCCCAAATCTGGCACAACATTTCCAGCGTCAAGAGTTTCCTTTCTGATGCTTTCAATCTCTTGTTCATCATCTTCACAACTATTCTTTGAAACCATTTTGGATTGGTTTTAGATACACATTTCTCAAGACATACCAAACTCCTAATTATTCTTCGACACGTTCGTTGCAATTTTGAGATGAAAATGAATTTCTATTCCCAGCTTTCTTATCTAGCAGGGGTCTGTCCAGACATTTTGTGAAAGGTCAGTTTTTGTAAAATTGTGAAAAAATTGCTCGTAATTTGCGAATATAAAATAAACGTTCAGTCACATTCTTTCAACCAGGGTCCGCTTTTGTGAATTTGGGCAAATAGGGTCTGTTATTGCAAAAAAACTTTTTCAAAGAGTTTTTAAATTGAAAAGGCATACAAGATTATGCTCAACACTGTAAAATTATAGTTAAAGAGATTAAATTTTAAAAAATAAACAGCAATTGCAGCTACTAAATTAGCGATTCAACATATAAAAATTTGGTATTTAGCCTATACTGCTGAACGCAGAATATTCATTTCGGACGAATAAAGTAAGAAGCGTCTGCCGAAGACAAAATTTAGTTCGTTTACACATGTCTTTCTCCCCCCCTTCCTGGGAAGGGTTTATTCGATTAACAAAACAATAATGAAGATAAACAAATTTGTGAAGGGTCCAATTAAAAGACAAATTGTTTTGTGAAGGGTCCGTTTTCAAGTTAAAAAATTTTGTGAAGGGTCCGTTTTTATGAAAAGATACTTTGTGAAGGGTCCGTTAACGGACCCAAATTTCTTCTAAACAGACCCCTGTCTAGGGTTGAGAAGATAACCCCAGGTAGTCACTCCGTACTACTCATCAACCCCTCACTTACTGCCAGAATCATTATATTACTTTCTAGTTAAGAAAGTGCAGGGATAGTGATCAAAGTTCCAAGAAACATCCCCAACCTGTTCATCCCTACTTCCTACGGGTTCACAAAATTCAGCTCTGTCTGCAAGATAAAGAAAGTTATGTTGTTTGGGCATTTGTGCTCTAGTATTAAAAATTCGAGAAACTGAGGTTTTGAAAAGAAAACAAATTTGACATAAACATGGAAAATACATTAATTTTAGCCCTTTTGCAAAATTAGTTTGGGCTTTCTGCGATATAGCCTCTCTAATACTAATATCTTTCTGCAAGATACTTTTAATAATAACAAATATACATGTTAATAAATTATTATCAGATCAAATAAAATAATTTCTTAATTAAATATGTAATATCTTTTTTAATTCTAATATCATGGGCTATATTCTCGTATTTTGTAGGGAGAAAACACACTAATTATTTCCTTTTTTGCTTTTTGTGAATCATCATCTCATTGAAAAAAATAATAAACAAAACTAAAACATCGCGAAATCTGTAGCAGTAAATCAAACTCTTCAAAAAAGAGTTACTAAATGCGCGTTTTCATTTCGAGATTCGTTGTAATAAATATTCTCATATTAAAAATATTGGATTTTAAAATTTTGAGGAAACCAATAGTAATAATTGCATTAAAAAAATTAGAACGAAATAAAAAAATTAGAATGAAAAGAAAATAAAATTTTTCACTTCATAAATTTTTATTTTTTATTGTTCTCAAATGAGAATAGAAAAAACATATTTTTCCACTTGAATGCGGGAGAAAGGCATCTTTCTCAGCAGCGTGCAGACCACTGACTGTTCTGCGCCTAAAAAGTCATATTTTAACCGGCAGTCTTCTCCATACATCAAAACCGGTTTTCCCACGCTATTTGATAGAAAAGTGGTATATTGGGGGAGAAACATTTTCATAATTTCACCCATGTGCTAAACCGCCAGTGGGTTAAATATAATTCTGAAGAAAAGCTAAAATATTTCAAAAATTTCCACAGAAAAAAAAAAAAAAAAACANAACAAAAAAAAAAAAAAAAAAAACCTTTCACCTCCCAAAAGAAAATCTTTTTTCAAGAACTCTAACTTTCTGCGACAATGTCGCCATGGGGAGTTCTAGAAAGTAAATGTTGAAAATTTTGAGATGTAAAGGTTCAACAGTATATATAAATTTATATAGACATATGTATTCAGTGAAGCTGAATCACTGTATGATCAATTTTACATTAATGTCAAAATGGTTATTTAAATCAGGGCTAGCATTTCATCTGAAATAAATCTATTTGTTCCAAGACTCTGGAAGAAAATGAAGAAGAAAAAAAAGAAGAAAGAAACAAGCCAAAATGGAAAAATCAGGATGAAATGGAACAAACTAAAATAACCAAAACATTGTTCAGAAATAAGTGTTATAAATAAATTGTTTAATAAGCGTTATAAATAAATTGTTTAATAAGTGTTATAAATAAATTGTTAAGAAATAAATTGTTAAGAAATAAATTGCTAAGAAATAAATTGTTTAAAAATAAATTAAGAATAGCTTAAATTTAAAATAAAAATTAAAAAAAAGTTAAATTTTTCATATTTACTTCTTTTACATCATTTAGTTCAGTTTTATACTAAATTTCAAATATTATCATATTAATTAAATATCGAACTCGTATTATCATATTAGTTAGTATCAAACTTGTCACATTGGTGACAAAATACACACATCCCTAAAAGAGTTAACCTTTCATGGAAATTATTTATTCTTGAGATAAAAAAAGAAATAATAACAGTTTTAAAAATTATGTGACAAACACTCAAGACCAAAACAAATTAATAACAGATAACTTAAAAAACAAAAATATTAAAGAAACCAACAATGTAAAAATATGTAATTTCAATTTTTAAAAAAATCCATTTTTGAATTTTAATTCATTAGCTTTCCAAAACCCTTTCACTTTTTCATCTCTGATTGTTAGAAATGACGTCATAGTAGTTTTTTTTGGTAATCTGACAGACAAAATCAAACGCCTGAAAATGAAAACTAAACTGTTATTTGTTAATCTTTGAGTATCTTAACCTCATTTTTTATTTGAATAAATATTGGAGATATTTCCATATCATGATCTGCCATGCCAATGGGGAGATTTCCGTATCGTGATTTGTGACAGAATAATCGCAAAGTCTTTGAAATTTCAGGGCAGTGGCCTGCGAGAAACTAATAAAAGATTAGAGAAAGGGACCAACTCGAAAGGAATAACTGGTAGCCACCTCCGAGAAAACATCTCCTTGGTTTCTTTTAAAAATATTTCAAGTTTAAAATCTATTTGGCATCTTGGCGATCGTAGTTGGCGAGACAGATCACGATCCGGAAATATTCCTCAAAAAGCTAAGGACAAATTGTGAATCTGTTATTTTATTTAAGCTTATAATAGGAACAATATATTTAGTTCTATTTCATTTCAATGATTTTAATTAAATACTAAGGTTTACAGAACATATTATAGATACAGAAATTTTTTTTTTTTTGAAATTTATGCATTGCTATTAGTGTTAGAGTTGCTTGCGTAACATAAAAAATGTGTTAGTTCCTTAGTGTAAATTTGAGCTTTTAAAGAAAAATCTTTTATCAACTAAATTTGTAAACTTTAGTTTAAATTTTAGAGCCAATAATAAAATTTTAATTAAGTCCTGTATTAAAACAAAAATTGAGTAGAAATAAGTTAGATACTTCAAGTTAAGTGTTTGATAATTTAAGAGTTCAGTAAAGAACCTTTTTAAGAAAAACTCACTGTCAGAAACTCGAGGCATTCTCGTAAAATTTTAACACAAATGCTGTAACAACCAGCGTAATTAACTCAAAGGAAGAGAAATCTAATAATTAATTAATAATTTCGAAACCACAGATTACATATTTTACGTTTTGTTTGGGAATTGGGGTTGCAAAGCGCTTTATTTTGCTTATTTCTGCTAAATTTAAAGTGAGGTGAACTAGGCTGCAATCAAATAATGAGAAAGAGCAAAAATTAAAATAAATAATATAATTCTAGGAGTAGAGTTAGTTGTTGTTGTTGTTGTCCATGTAAGTCGCACTAGAGCTGCACAATGGGCTATTGGTGACGGTCTGGGAGACATCTCTGAGGATGATCCGAAGACATG